ATACCCACCGACAAACTTGAATTAGCGCAAAATACTTCGTGGAGTAGAAAGAAGGAAGTTTCGAATCAACACGAAATGTCATTATACGAGTAAAATCGTACGAACATCCCTTATATGAAATCAATTGCTAAACTAAGTAAACGTTGAAACCTATACGAAAATGATGATTATTTGATACACGTATTATACAATTATATATACATGTTGTTGTACCTGAAATCAGTTAATCATGTAGTGACCAGTTTCGGAGATGAGAAAGTTTTGAGTTATTAGATTCAAAATCAGAGGAACCTTTCCTGATTGAGGGTGCCAATGCCCATATGGCTTATATCATTACAGTGACATGATATATTGAAATGAGCGAGTTTTCATCAGAAAATATCAATTGCCTGAGAGCATTGAATATTTTCTCTAATTACACGCGCTTTCAGGGCACAGTGCTCTTCATCTGATGAGAACTCATATTTCGACTGTGATGTTTCGACTATAGGCATTAGCACCCTTGATCAGAAACAGTATATAAGTACCTTCGATTTTCACCTCCTTAGTTCAAACTGAATATGGACTTGATTAACTGATTACATCATTTGAAGTGTAGACATAGCTCTGAGCTTTTCTTTCTCTATTGATAAGTATCGTGATTTCAGAAGTTTACTCATATTTTTCTAGGGGTGGGGGGACAGAAATCTTCAATTGGATTTTCGAAATTCATTCTTGAAGAAGTCGCGATTCCAGGGGCAACAGATTTTCACTAAGGGGTTCAAACCTTAGTAGTGAATGTATTCTCAATCACCCAGGTCGTAAGTATTTCGTTGGAAAATCAATGTTGGAACTAGATGAAACAATGGCACGATGGTAAGATTCTTTCGAAATTGGTAATAGTGAGAATTCTTTAATTCACTATGATAAGAACTGAATAGTGGGCATAGTGAAAATTCAGGAATTTGGGTTTCTAATAGAAATATAGTCGAATTGATATCTCATGTCACATAATACTTACGAATCGGCCAGCGACAGTCAGCTGGCCGTTTCATAATGCTCCCCAGCGAGCACAAACATTCCTGGGATGTTTTGGAATGTTTTGAAAATGTTTGCATGAAGATGTTATTTTGAGACGTAATATGCACTGACCAAGGAGGTCTTTGAAGGATATTGAAGTATTGTTTTTGTTCTTCTGTGGCATTTCTTTGTTTGCCTACTGAGAGGTATCCCTGGGATGTTTTGGGATGTTTTAGAAATGTAGGCATGAGCATGTTTTTTTGAGGCGTAATATGCACTTCCCAAAGAGGTCTTAGAAGGATATTGAAAATATTGTTCTTGTTCTTTTGTGCCCTTTCTTTGTTTGCCCCACCACAACATCTCATGCTTACGTCACAATACGATGAATTCTGATTTGTTTTCGATTTTGTTCTTCTTGTTCGCAATTGGCATTCGCGTTTGCAGCGTGTCACGCCTTCACCACGCTGCTAACGAACAGAAAGGAATTTGGTGAAGTTTATTGTGTTAGAAGACTTATTTAGTTTGTAATAATGACCATCAGATGCAAGATGTGTTGTTCGGTGCCTCAGTGTAATCAATATATAAAAGTACGAATTTATCAATACACATCAGCTTCTCCGCAGTTGCAAAATTATGCATTGTGGAGAACATTTCAAGAATTGGGAAACCTATTTCCAATTATATGTCTGTGTGTAGTAAGCACTACTCAGAAACCGATTAGGAAGGTAATTTTATATCAAGAAAATATTTTTATATTCAATCTATTTTTAATGCATTTTTTCATTCAAGGGAAATGGAATCCTAATGCAAAAGTTCATTTTGACAAAAGGTTTCAGAAAAGTACCTCAAAAATGGTTTTTTACAGCGATTTGATGTGCGCAAGACGCGTTGAAAATGTTCTGTTGTGTCCATGAAAAGGCTTTAAGAAGAACTAGGGAGAAGGTAGTTTTGTGACATATCAAGGACATCTCGATAATTGCCGCCTGCGGCTGACATTGGCTGTTCTATAATAGTTCTATTCATGTGTGAACAGAACATCGCAGTAGAGGTTCAATGTCTCGAAATCTCGTACTTTTAACATCTCTGAGATGTTTTTGTGCTCGCTGGGTCCTTATTCTTGAACAACCGAAGTTTTATAAGGGGAATCTTATCCAACTTGTCACTCACTCGTGTATTCTCATCTCAGGATGTCCAGCAACATTCAAATTGTTTTGACGTGAATTTTTTTTATGCTCTGGTTCCCACGAAAAGGGATATCCTGTAATGTTCAGAGAACAAAGTGAGAACCAAGGGAAATAAGGTTAGAATTGGGGTTCTTCTTGAATTTCTGGATGTTATATGCCTCGGGGAACACCTCCCTTGGCAATGTGTTCCAGAGCCTCGCTGTTCGTTTGATGAACGAGTCTTCAGAAAGAGATGTTCTGTAGGTCTCCAAAAAGTGACCACGAAGGGGTGCGAAGCCTCAACTCGACGGGTTGATCTCGCGGAGATTACCAAGGGAGGAACAATTGTTGATATTTCAGAAGAGCATCGTCGACATACGAGACCCTGGTCCCTGGTTCAACAAGAACTGTTTTAAAGCTGTTGTCTTGAAACGAACAACCTACCATCGCTGGCGCAAAAATTCTGACCTGGTAACTAGAAGAGAATATGTTGAAGCCAGAAATAACTGTAACCAAACAATAGATACATCGGAAGAAACATACAATTCCAAAATGAGGTCGAAACTGATAGACTGTCCCAATGGCTCCCGTTCGTTTCGATCCATCGCTAAAGCAGTCAGAAGAAATTTCACTAATAGTTCATTTCCTTCATTATCCAAAGTCGACGGGACATAAGCAACAACATCGAGAGAGAATGCTGCAATCTTTGCAGAGATGTTCGCACCAAACTCCACCTTAGATTCTCAGGGAAAATTGCCACCAGATATTCCTTACGTTGAAATTCGAACGCATGATGAAATCGTCATTCGCCATCGCACTATCAGGCGCATTCTGCTTGGTCTCAAAACTAATAAGGCTATGGGTCCTTATGGAATTCCACCAATTATTCTCGAGAAGTGTGCACCAGAACTCGTATACTCGTACAAGTAAGGTGCGTTTTTTCATCCTGCTGGAAAATAACTAGATTCCAATCAATCCCCAAAAACGAAAAGAAAATCCTGCCCATATCTATAGATCTATTGCCATGTTATCAGTTATCTCCGAAGTGACAAAAAAAACGATCAACATTGAACTTATCGAATATCTCGAAAAACCAGGAATTATTATTGATAGACAATATGGCTTTCACCACAGAAGATCAACTGGGGATTCACTTGCCTAGGTTAGCTATATATGGCAAGCTTCATTAGAAAAACACGGGGAATCATTAGCTGTGGCAATAGATATATCGAAAGCATTAATCGGACCGCGTTTAGTACCAAAGAATTATACACAAACTATACCGTCACACATTTTTCTGGAATGTAATGTGAAATGTAATCTGCATATTATCCCATTTTGAGCAACAAATTTGGCGGATCCAATATGGCGAACGAGTTTCGAAATTATAATCCAATTCAATTAAAAATTGGTATCTAGGGGTTTTCGGGGTCGGAGATTATGTTGCTCTCGTCAAAATTGGAAAATTCAATATGGCGGACATAATATGGCGGTAGGGTTTTGTAATCATGATCCGATTCCATTGAAAATTAGTATCTGGAGGTTTTTAGGGTTTGAAGATTATGATTCTTTCGTCGAAATTGGGCATACTTACAAGAAATATATATAAGAACACTAAGAAACGTGCTTTTGTAGCTATAGTTTGAACTAAAAAATTGAAAATGAATAGTAGTTAGAAAAACTATAGAAACACCCTTCTTTAGATAGCCAAACTGAAAAGAGGTGAAAAAAATAAAAAACAAAGGGGGTAAATACACAACATTATATATACCATACTGACTATACGGAGGTGCTAAACATTTCTATGTTGTGTATTTATCAACACACTTTCGTTATTTTATTTTCCACCTCTTTTTAGTTTGGCTATCTTTAAAAACGTGTTCCTTCAATTTCCTAAACTACTATTTATTATAAATAATATGGACAAAAACACTCGTAGGAAAACATTGATGTACTTACCTAACTCATGCGGAAAAGTACTATACTTTCCGCAATTGTTAGGTAAATAACTATTTTCTTCAACTGCTAGGAATAGTAGCGTATTTCTCATAGCTTATGCCAAGTTTCAAAACCAACCAGAAATATTTTTTCTCACATCACTTTGCCAACACCATATTCATTTCCATGGAGAATCATTAAAAATTGACCAAAACTTAGTTTGCAACTGCTGTTGAATAGTTGTCACAACTGTCAGCAGGAGTTCTTCAAATTCTTAGGGTAGTTTCAATTAGTGCTTTGATAAAAATCGCAATTGCCATTAAATATTATTTCTAAAATTTATAATTAATAATATGAATATACTGAGAGTAGTGACGATTTTAATACACCGCCAGAGATAATGGAAAAGCTACAAAAGTTAGACTTGTTGCAAGAAATTTCAAGGAAAAAGTACAAATTGACATACGAAAAATGTATGGAATGTAGAAAGAATACAAAAATAAAATCTTTTTTGGAAAGGGTACTTTTTTGTGTACAATAGGAAATAGGAAAGGCGTCTACTCTTTGGTCACAATATCATAAAATCAATCATAAAATGAATATTTACCAATAAATTATATTACTTGTATTCTTTGAATTTGTGCAGTTGTAGAGAAAGTATAGTGTGCACACAGAGAAGTATTTTCTTCCACTTGGTGCACAATATACTATTTTCCCCCTGTTGCACAATATCCTTTAGTCGATAGAAGCAACTAATTTTGAATTGACCATCCCCAAGTAGTTGAAGGCAATGCCTCCAGAAACGTTACGAGTATCGCCCTGTAAGACGAGCGTCTTGTAAGTACCGCTGCTTGGCGTACTATCCATTTTACCTGTGCCCCACTATGCTTACAGGTAGAAGTAGAAGGTGCGATGGTGGAACTAAACTCCAACAGCATGCTTCAGAATTGAGATCGTGAATCGTGACCGACCGTGTTCGTATCATTTCTATATCATTCTGGTCAGTTATGTGAGGTTTTGGCAGACAGTTTCGTTTAAGAATCCCCTAGGTCCTAGGTGTTAGCAGAAGCGGTACGATGACCAGGAGACATTTAGTGACTCTTTTTGGCGTGTTGGTGGTGCTAGTGTTGAGTTCGAACTCTGAGGAATGTCCAGAGGGAAATTCCAACGGGAAGTGTGCGGCTAGGGCATCTCATAACAATGGTGAGATTCTTAGATATTCTTAGACGAAGATTCGAACATTCACTCGTTCTTCCGTTAGATTCCTATTCATTTTTCATCATTTGTACAGGACGAGTTGCGAGATCCATTTATGAATATAAATGGATAGATGAGTCACGGAATAATATTGAAGTTTTCAAATAAAACATTGTGGGCTGATTATTATTTCCAAATGTAAAATCAGAGTGTGTACTCTGTGTACTGTGAAACTTTACAATAAATGCCAATACCTATAGTTGTTCCTAACCTTACTTGTACACATATAGGTACTATAGTACGTTTGTTCTGTTCACACCATTTCACACTAATACTGAAGTATGAGGTGAAGTACCCTGTAAGTATTTTGTTATCTACTGTTGTAGTTATAATTCAATTCGTCTCAATCAAATTCATACTACGTGTGTTGCTATAGGGCATCTCATAACAATGGTGAGAGGTGAGAGTGAGATTCTTAGACGTTCTTGGATGAAGATTCAAACATTCACTCGTTCTTCCGTTAGATTCCAATTCATTTTTCCTAATTTGTACAGGGCGAGTTGCGAGGTCGATTTATGGGTAAAATTGCACTTATCATGCGCTGGCTTTTTCGCGAAAATCTTTTTTGGTACTTAGGTATTTTTGTCAGAAAATCACGAATTTGATGATGAAAGTGTGAACAACCCATTATTTATTAAGATATTTCACTATGAAGTTACAAATTTCACCTTCTTTTCCGTCTGTCTTTTGGCTCGCATTGAGAACAATATGCCCTTCTTTTCTCATCATTGGACAATTTATGTATCACAATGTATTTCAATGACACTTTTTTTTTTCTATATGAAAGTCAACTAGAAATATGATTTTCTTGCGATTTATCCATATTTAGTGAAAAGAAGAAAGGGTATATCATTTAAAATAATAGCCTGTGTAATGTCATTCGAAAGAAATATGTTGACAAGTTGATTATTGATAAAATGGTCGTCATCTGGTATGATTTTTCACTAAATATGAAAAACTCGCTATAAAAATCATATTTTGTATTAAATTTTCTCTATAAAAATGTGTCATTGAAGTACAAAACATGAAGTGTCCAATGACAGAATAAGAAGAGCAAGTATAGCTGTTAATGTATCCAAGAAATAAAGGCGAAAAAGAACACGAAATGTCGAACTTTCCTTTGAAATATCTCGATATGGAGTGGTTTGTTCACATTCCCATTATCAAATTCGTGGTTTTCAGACAAAAATACGTGAGTACCAGAAAAAATTGTCGAAAAAAAGCCCATCGCATGATGAGTGCAATATTACCCTTTTATGAATATAACTAGAAAAGTCACGGAATATTCAGGTTTTCTAATTAAACATTGTGGACTTTTCGAAATGTAAAATCAGATTGTTTACTGAAATTGAACCTTCACTAAATACCAATACCTATAGTTGTTCCTAACCTTAGTTGAACACCAACCATAGTACATTTCTTCTGTGCCGCCAATGGTACACTAATACTGAAGTATGAGCTGAAGTACCCTGTAAGTTTTTTGATATCCATTGCTGTAGTTATACTCCGTCTCAGTCAAATTATACTTCGTATAATTAGCATGTATCATCTTTTGGCTGAAATGTCCCAATGACTTGGAATAAGGTCCCCTGGTAATGATGCGGAGATGCTAGTTTGAACTTTGAATATGTGAGTGGCAGTTCCAGCAACAAACATTCTCCGAACATTCCTTGTTGGAGACGCTCCAACTGACTTTGAAAAACCTTTTATAGGGTAGGTAATACTGGACTGAAGTAACTTAATCTTTGTTGATCTGCGTTGCAGAGTGCGTTGCTAAGAAAACCTCAAAAGTAATCAAATAGGTATCTGTCAATTTGATCATGTGATTTCATTCAAAATTGCGAATTTCCTGGTTGTCTTAGTAGTTATATACCTATCAAGAGTCAATATATACGTCACACTTTTACACGCATTTTTCTGAATACTCATGTGAGTATCTTGGCAACACTGCCACGATTATTTGAAGAAAATATATATCTTGCATAAAGTTTCACTCTGGGTTCGATAAGAAACCTATAAATAGTATTGAATGGTGTGGTAATTTATGTGGAAAATCCCATATCCAGATAAACATTGGGCCTATTTTCAGGATATCAAAGAAATTCTATTGGAAATCCCAGAAAGTCAACTGAAATAACATTGGAAAAAACATTGAACAGTCATTGCGAGTTGAATTGTAAATTCAAATATAGGTATATTCGAAAACGGATTGGTTTATAACGAAATGCGACAAGATTTGTTTTTCATTTCCGAATATGTTGTAATAATGATTTCATTACAATAAATGGAAATTGTTGGGTTAATTTCAACACTGTGTCAATCCAAGTCCAGCAAACCGGATTGTGTAACCATTTTGGGTATGTTCCATAAATCAACTTGGTTATTTCGGTTAGTAGTTTTCCGTTCCGTGAATACGTAATGTCCGGTTGGTTCCTGAAAAAAGGTTATTCACGGAACTCGGTTGCTGAAAAAGCGGTAGATACACTGTCACCATGTAACGAGACTCTTCAATTCAGGGGAAATCGGGGCGTGGTGGTCTCAGAAGTCAGAAAAACACCAGATTAGGATAGCCCGTTTTATTGGTTCCTGCCGGCCACACGGCGTTAGTTTCGTGATGTTGAGATATAATTTTTGAGCTAAAAGACAATGCAAAATGAAGATCTAGCCTAACTTGTATATAATCAGAATTAAAGCTCAGCAAGAAAATACGTTAACACAAATACCAAATCTTTAGCGCCCTGTAGGTATAAAACATAATACATATACACATACAGAAAAACTGCACAGGTCATTTGAGACAAAATAATAAAATATCGTCTAAAGAAAAGCTTCACCTACCTAAAAGACAATGCAGGCACAAAGGATATCTTTCCAACGAAAAGAATCCTTCTTCAAACCAAGGGCACTTTCAATTTAGCTTGCAATTATTTTGGCTGAAAAATCAGTTAGGCATAATACAAAGCCGATTACTTTTCTCTTTGGAGTCTTGATGGTAAAAGCCTTGATATCCAATGAAAACCGAAAAAAGTGGGTATTTAACGTCCGAATAAATAAACTAGCAAAACACAGCGCAAAAACCCATCCGCGCGGCGGAGGCAGCTAATTTTTATCGCACTACGCTTCGCAAACGAAGATGATACTAAAAGGTACGACCGATAAATAAAACCCTATACTGGGCGAATCATTTTTACACGACACGACATATTAAAAAGATGACAACGGAGGGTGTTTCGCTACATCCGATCCCTCTCCAGGACGAACTCGCGATATGGGACGACATTTTTCAACGTTCCAGAGTCGCGTAGGAGGCTAGATTAACTACAACATGGTCAAGGTGGTTCGAAATAAGCCTTCAAATGGGAGGCATGAAAAACACCCCGTTCGTTGGCAGAATGGATATCTTCCAAAACGTACGTGTCATCTCGTATTTGCTTTTTCAGGCGGAACGGACCTTCGAACAAGAGTAACAGTTTTTTTGTTTCTGATCGCATCGCAGGAGACATATTATTCGCCTTCAATAATACTAACTCCCCAGGTAAAAACTTACGATAAGGACGACCAGGGTGCTGAACAGCGCGACGGTCAGCCTTACTTTTGAAGTTCTCTGCAGCCAAGACAAGCTTTTGGGCATGGGTTGTCTTTGGTTCCGGTGTTTCGGGATAGAGAGATGGGGGCAATAGCCTCACGCGGTCTTGACCGAATTCCAGTTCCATTGGACTGAATCCTGTTGTCTCATGTACCACCGAGTTCAGGAACTCCTGGAATTTCGGCAATTCGACGACCCATCTACTATGTCGGTCATGGCAGTAGGTACGGAGTATACGTGCTATTTCCCTCATACATCTTTCGGAAGGATTCGCACAGGGATGCCTAACAGCGACGTACACGAGCTGAACTCCCAAGTTTCCCAACGTGCTCTGCCACAGCTTGGACTTGAATTGAGTAGCATTGTCTGATAACATTCTCAAAGGCTGGCCATGCTGCGGAAAGTATTGTTGGGTTAATTTATTCAAAAGTGCACGGGTAGTGGCCTTCTTCACAGGAAAGAGAGCTACGTACTTCGTGAATACGTTGAAAACTACGGAAATGTAAGTGGCACCACCCCGGCTGCGAACGAGCGGGCCCAAAACATCAATGGCCACTAAATCAGTTTTGGATTCGGGGATTATCTGTTTTTGCGGGGGGTTCGGCAACGTCGAGATTTTTGCCTTCTGACATATGTCACAACATTTGACATATTTTTTTGTTAAACGTTGAAGATTAGGAAAATACACTTCGTTCTTCAGGGCAGCACAGGTTTTATAAACCCCTGGATGACCTAATGCTTCATGGAAAGAAACGACAAAATCTTTAACCAAGACTTCGGGTATGCATAGTAAAAAAATTTCCTCAGCGGCCCGTTTGAAAACGATGTCTTTATGTATTAGGTAGTTTAATTTATATTTTTCATTGTTAGCAAAATTCAATTTTATTTCCGAAATCAGAGTATCTACATTTTGATAATGTTTAATTTTCTTGAGAATTTTCGAGAGTGATGGAGAGATATCGAGTTTGTTCAGCTGGAAACACTTATCTGAAGGGGTAGGCAGACGTGAGCATGCAAAGCGCGACAAAGCATCCGCTGAAAAGTTCATTTGCCCCGAGATGTGTTCGATCCTGAACCTATACTCCTGGAGGACGAGAGCATACCTTGCTATCCTTGGGGACAGCAAACGACAGGAATTGAGATAGACCAACGTCTTACTATCTGTGAAAAGAACGAATTCGTTTCCCAAGAGGTACGTTCTCCATCGCTGAATGCAGAAAACAGCCGCCAGGACCTCCTTCTCGTTGGAATGGTAGCGTCGTTCCCTGTCGAGGAGCAGCCTACTAGCCCATGCTACGGGGCGCCGCTGACCATCAACTATCTGAAATAAATGCCCACCTAGACCAATATCGCTAGCGTC